AACGTTAGAACACGTGGCCTGAGCCCGGACTGGCGGCTCAGCGGATGGGAGGTTGTTCTGTCCACAAAAGGTTGCCGGTTCGGTTCCTGGTCAGGGCACTTACCTAGGTTGTGGGTTTCATCCCCTGTCAGGGCGCATATGGGAGGCAACAGATCAATGCTTCTCTCTCTCAAAATGATGTGAAGAAGAAAAGCAAAAATTGTAAAGAAGATCAGTCATAAACCTGTACGTATGAACAAAGCAAAATGATGGTTAAATTCACAAGGCAAAAGTACTAGGATTGTAAGGAGAGATTTCAAGACACATCTCTCAGAATTAGACCAAATAAAAAAGAATGATATGGAGGAATCATCAATAAATTTGAGTTAATAGGTGGAGATTCTTAAATCCATGAACAGAAAGCACATCTTTTCTTTCCTCACTTGTTTTCTCTTTTTAAAAAGTTTTTATTGACTTTATTGGGGGTGACATTGAAACATACATTCCTTATTATTCATGTGTCTCTGGAAATGCTACAAAAATTAATAATATATTTGACCACAAAAAAACAAAACCTGATCCAATACAGAAAAGTAGAGAAAAGTTCATATTTGTATCATAATCTGATAAAATTGGTAGTAAATAATAAAGGTGTGACCAACATAACCTAGACAACACTTAGATTAAAGAGGACACCAAGAGGGAAATTAAATTCTATTGGGAGAGCAGTGGAAATAAGAGTGCTCATTCCCAAACCTCTGGGATATAGCAAAACTGAATTCAGTGGAAAATTAAATGTCTCCATTACTGAAATAGAAAGACAAAAAGACCTACACACTCAGTGTAAGTACCAAAAGGAAGTAGGAAGAAGGAATCGATAGCAGACATGAATGATGGAGAACCGAGCCTACACTCACCCTCATTCCTGTGAGCAGGGGTGGTGAACTGGTCTTTGCAGACACCAGTGAACAGGAAGGCCCGACTCATCATGACTTGCACTTTCCTTGGAGCAGGACAAACGAGAGAGCAGAAATAGACAAGACCAGGAATGAGAAAGGCGCCATCACTTCAGGTTCAGGAGCGATTAAGAGCATCTTAAGGAAATTATATTCAATGTTAGGACAATAAGTTTGAAACCGGAAAGAAAGGGGTGCGGCAGGTGGCTAATTCCAGAAGCGGAATGCGGAGTCGGGAGCCTGGGCGAAACCTGGCGGGTCCGCCCCAGCTGGTTGACCATAGGCCGTTGCGAGCCTCTCTGTGCTCCGGTCAAATGGAGAGAAGGGGGTTCCTTCCTCTGGGGCGTCGTGAGGATTAGCTGAGTTAACATGGGAACGTGCACACAGTGGAGACTCAGTCAGGGCTGGCGTTACTGTTGTTGGTATTTTATTAAATGGTGTTGGCACAACAGGCTGTCCATCAAAAAGACAGTAAACATGGGCTTCCCTCTTACCTCATATGTAAAATAATTTCTTTACGTACTCAGAGTGAACAAAAAACAATAAAAATCTTACAAGAACATCCAGGGAATTAAATGAACCCAGGATCAGAGAGGACTCCGCGTCGAACTAAAACAGAGGCGTCCTATTCAGCCTTATAATCCTCTGTATGCAAGAGACACCATGAATAAACTCCACGCATAAGCGGAAGATGGAGGGAAACCCTGATAACTAGATGCTGTAGCTCAGAGTCTCACAGAAACTCGGACTCGGAAACACAAACAGGAGGGAGGCAGCACCAGGGGCTGCGCCTTCCCAGACAGGAATGCAAACTCAGGATTGGGAAAAGCGCTCCAGCCCCGAGGGCCTGGGGGTGCAGACTCGAGGACCCCCAGAGCTTGGGGTGCAGACCCGAGGACCCCCAGAGCTTGGGGTGCAGACCCCAGACCCCAAGGGACTGTGGAAAGCCATCTGGCAACACCTATGAAACGGAAACTGCAAATCTTCCCAGGACTCTATTCCATAGAAATAAAGTCACCTGGAAGGTTAAGGAAGCTTATGGAGCAGTGGTCTAAAAGTGGAAGCAAAGAGACGTCCCATAAATGGGGAGCACTATGGCCACGTGCATGTAAACATCATTAATATTCATTTTAAAGAGCCAGGAGAGCCGATGGAATTCATTCACCCGTCCTTCTGCCTTGGAGGGACTGTGCACACACACCACTGGGGAGGACAGAAGGCTCAGAAATGTGTTTGATAAGGCCCTATTGTTATTTCATTTTATTGACGAGAGAGAGAGAGAGAGAGAGAGAGAGAGAGAGAGAGAGAGAGAGATTGGTTTGTTGTTCCACATCTATGAACCCACTGGTTGATTCTTGTATGGGCCTGACAGAGATGAAACCGCAGCCTTGGCAAATGGGGAGATGCTCTAACCACCTGAGCTCCTGGGCCCTATTTCTGAAAACAATGACGAGCCCTCTGTGTCCCGTACATTTCACCTTTGTCGGATATCATAGCAGCGCTGGGGAAACGCGAAAACAACTAGAACCTGCGGTGCCGACACGGAGGGGTGAAGCCGCGCGCAAGGCTGACCTAACGCCCCTCACACGTGCCTGCTCGGCGATTATGCAGAAACCAAGCGGCTCCTGGCCATTTTGGTGTGAACTGTGCACTGTGTGTGACGGGGCGCGCCCCAAGCTTGCTCTGCCCGGGTGTGGCTCCAGCCCGGAGGCAGAGGCGGCGCAGAGCGGGCCGCGGGCTTGGGCCGCCCCAGGGGCTTGGTGCCGAGCTCACCGTGACTTGCACTTTGCTGCGGCCCGGCCCCCGCCCTCGCCTTCAGGTGCCACTGGCTGCCCTTTGTCCTGACTCAGGCCCTGGCTTCCTGGGCGCCTCCTGAGGACCCTGCAGACCCGCAGGTAGGGGTCAGGGTAGAGCGCAGTACTCTGCAGCCTCCGTCCGCCCCACCGGCCCGTCCCCCACGGCCCAGGCCCGGCCGCTGGAGCCGGCGGCTTCTCCCGCGGTGCCGGCGGAGGCAGCCCAGGCGCCCTCCTCCATCCCCAGCGGGGGAGGCGCAGGCGGGCCACGCTGCCCACCGCACCCCTCTAAGGAGAGGCTCTGAAACAGTGGCTGACTGACTGATAAAAACGAACACAAAACCACAAAACCCACCGCGTCTGCGTGCGGCTCACAGGTGGGCATTCAGAGCTGTCGGCCAGGCCCTGGCAGGTAGCTCGGCTGGTTAGAGCGCAGTCCCAAGCGCAGTCCCAATACCCCAAGGTGGCGAGTGTCAGTCAATGAATGCATACATGACAGCAAAGCCCCTCTTCCTCTCTCTCTCTCTCTCTCTCTCTCTCTCTCTCTCTCTCTCTCTCTCATTAATGAAAAGATATATTTTTAAAGAGTTGTTGGCCAGGACCCCTCCTGCCAACTGCAAGGATTGAAGGGGGCGCAGGAGGGGAACCCCTAGGCCAGAAATGCTGTGCAGCTTGCCCCACACCCGCCCCTCCTCACTGTCACTCCATCCTCAACCCAGGCCGCCCTGGCACTCAGTCCCACCGCGCACCATCCTGAAGTTCACGGGTAAAGAACCCGCCCCCCCCAAGCCGGGCCTCAGTGGGAGGTGACATGTGTGGGTACAAGGAGGGGGGGCTCACCAGGCCAGGGGGAGGGGGGCTCACCAGGCCAGGGGGAGGGGGGCTCACCAGGCCAGGAAAGGCCAGGGAAGGCCAGGGAGGAGCCATTGCAGGCACTGTGTGGGGGTGAGGAAGGAGAGATGCCGCCCATGGTGGCAGAGACAGAGACCTACGCTCACACATTAAACGAGGAAGACAAGCATGTTTGGAGGAGACCCACGCGGGGACATTTCAGGCACCTGATTAGCTCTTTCCGGGATATTTGGGAGGAACTTCACTTTCCAAAGTTCTCTTAACACATGTTGCCTCATTCAGATCCTACAACGGTCGCTGAGACCGGGGTGCAACTACCTTACTGATGGGGAATCAGACCAGAGGGTGTCCTCCCAGGTCACACGCTGAAGAGCTGTGACTCATCTCACCCTACATGCCGCCTCCAAGTGAGTTTTTAAAATAAACCGTTAACTTTAGAATTGTTTGAGATTTGCAGAAAAGTTGCAAAGATAGTTGGACGAATGAATCACATTAATGCACAACCAACTAACCGATGTTGGTGCGTTCTTAGTACCTAAGGCACACGCTTTGTTTGCATTTCCTCATGGTTCACCCAGGGTCCCTCCTCTGTCCAGGACCCTCTCCGCAGACGCCTCACATCCGCCATGTCTCCGTGGGCTCCCCGGGCCGGCTTTCCTTTCTGGTGACCTTGGTAGTTTGGAGGAGAACTAGTCCGGTGTTTTGGAGAATATCCCTTAATTTGGGTTTCTCTGATGTTTTTCTCGTGATTCGATTGGGTTATGGGTTTGGAGGAGTGAGACCACAGAGGTGAAGTTCCGTTTTGTCATGTCATATCCAGGGAGCATGCTGTTGCCATGACTTGTCCCTGAGGGTGTAGACCTTGACCTCCTGGTGAGCTTGTGTTCCTCAGCGCTTTCCGCTGAGCTGACGCCCAGCCTGTCCCCTGGCCCTTGGGCAGGGCCACACGCTCACCCCGCACAGAAGGTGAGGTCATGCTCCGCCTTCCTCAGGGAGCATTATCCACACAAGTTAGTTTGAATCCCTCTGTAAGAGAGATTCCAAAAGGCTTTTCAATTCATGTTTCTATTTTCTTAGAGTGAAGATACGGAATATAACATAAGTGCAGGGTGTCCCCCAAAACGTAAGCACCCTTTCAACTCATTCCTCGTTCCAGTGGGTTACATCTGAAAAGAAAGAAACACCAATTGAGCTGTCAGCTGTTGGAGTGTGCATATTTCTGGGACACCCTGTATTTAACAGCTTTATTGCTATTTAATTCAACACCATGTTATTCACCCATTACAGTGTAGAGCTTAAAGCTTTTTAGTTTGTGTGCGACCATGACCATGTTGGGCCTCCCTGAGAGAAGCCTCCTATCCATTAGCAGTCACCCCCCCCCCCACCCCCAGGCCCTTCCTCAGCGTCCTGACTCTCCTAGTGTTTCATGTGAATGGAATCCACAGTGTGAAGTCCCGTGTGACTGGACTTTCTCACTCTGCGTGATGTTTACAGGACATACCCATGTTGTAGCGTGTGCCAGAGCTTCACTCCTTTTAAAAACATTTAATGTTGACAGTATTGCATTGTGAGAATGGGAGCTGACATCCCTCATTTTCTCCTCCTACCCCCTTTGCACCCCGCCTCTGCCCCCACCCCAGGCCTTCACCACACTACTGTCTGTGTCCGTGGACTGTGCATATAAGCTCTTTGGTTAATCTCTTCCCTCCTCTCTCCCGCTTCCCCTCTGAGGCCTGTCAGTCTGTTCCATGCATCCTTTTTGTTCGTTAGATAATTTTGTTCATTACATTCCACATATAAGTGAGATCATGTGATACCTGTCTTTCCCCGACTGGCTTATTTCGCTTAGCATGGTACTCACCAGGTCCCTCCATGCTGTGGCAAAGGATAGGTGCCCCTTCTTTTTTACAGCCACATGGTTTTCCACGGTGTAGATGTACCACAGCTTTTTTACCTGCTCATCTACTGATGGGCACTTGGGCTGTTTCCAAATCTTACCTATCTTATATAATAAAAGTGTAATATGCTAAGTGTCCGACCTATTGGTCAACTGTTCCATCGACTGCTTGTCCAGTCGCTATGACGCACACTGACCACCAGGGGGCAGACACTCAGACCAGTAGGTTAGCTTGCTGCTGGGGTCCGGCTGATCTGGACTGGGTGAGAGGGCGGGACACACCGTGGAGCCCTCCCACGGTCACTCCCCTGCTGGCCGGCCCTCATCGGCCCCAATCACCGGCCAGGCCGAGGGACCCCACCTGTGCATGATCATGCACCAGTCTTCTAGTTGTAAATAAAGCTGCTAAGTGGTTCAATATTCTGATTGGTGTTTTGGAGACTGGATTCCAAGAAGTGGGATCAATAGGTCAAATGGCAGTTCCATTTTTAAAAATTTTTGTTAATCCTCACAGAGCATAATTTTTCCATCGCTTTTTTAGAGAGAGTGGAAGGGAGTGGAGAGACAGAGAGAGAAACATCGATGTGAAAGAGACACATCAATTGGTTGTCTCCCTCATGCTCCTCAACTGGGGCTGAGGATTGAGCCTGCGACTGAGGCACAGGCTCAGACAGGAATCAAACCCCAGACCCTTTCAGTCCATGGGCCAACACTCTAACCACTGAGCTAAATCGGCTAGGGTCCATTTTTTAATTTTTTGAGGAAACTCTATATTTTCCACAGTGGCTGCACCAGTCTGCATTCCCACCAGCAGTGCAAGAGGGTTCCTTTTTCTCCACATCCTCGCCAGCACTTGTCGTTTGTTGATTTGTTGATGATAGCCATTCTGACAAGTGTGAGATGGTACCTCATCATCATTTTGATTTGCATCTCTCAGATGATTACTGACTTTGAGCATGTTTTCACGTGTCTCTTGGCTTTCTGAGTGTCCTCTTTCGAAAAGTGCCTATTTAGGTCCTTTGTCTATTTTTTGATTGGGTTGTTTATCTTCCTTTTGTTAAGTTGTATGAATTCCTTGTAAATGTTGGAGATTAAACCCTTATCGGTGATAACATTGGCGAATATGTTCTCCCATGCAGTGGGCTTTCTTGTTGTTTTGTTGACGGTTTCTTTGGCTGTAGAAGCTTTTTATTTTGATGTAGTCCCATTTGTTCATTTTCTCTTTAGTTTCCATTGCCCTAGGACAGTGGTTCTCAACCTGTGGGTCACGACCCCTTTGGCGGTCAAACGACCCTTTCACAGGAGTCGCCTAAGACCAGCCTGCATATCAGATATTTACATTACGATTCATAACAGTAGCAACATTACAGTTATGAAGTAGCAACGGAAATAATTTTATGGTTGGGTCACAACATGAGGAACTGTATTTAAAGGGCCAGAAGGTTGAGAACCACTGCCCTAGGAGCTGTGTCGGCAAAGATATTGCTATGACAAATGTCTGCTATTTTGTTGCCTATGGCTTCTTCTAAGATTTTTTATGGTTTCCTGTCTTATGTTTAAGTCCTTTATCCACTTTGAGTTTATTTTTGCGTATGGTGTAAGTTGGTGGTCTAGTTTCATTTTTTTGCATGTATCCTTCCAATTTTTCCAACACCATTTATTGGAGAGACTGTCTTGACTCCATTGTATGGTCTTGCCTCCTTTATCAAATATTAATTGAGCATAATGGCTTAGGTTGATTTCTGGGTTCTCTGTTCTGTTCCACTGGTCTCTATGTATGTTCTTGTGCCAGTACCAGGCAGTTTTGAGAACAGTGGCTTTGTAATATGGCTTGATATCTGGTATTGTGATCCCTCCAACTTTGTTCTTCTTTCTCAAGATTGCTGCAGCTATTCAGGATCTTTTTTTTTATTCCAGATGAATTTTTGGAGAGTTTGTTCTAGGTTTTTGAAGTATGATGTTGGTATTTTAATGGGGATTGCATTGAATTTATAGATTGCTTTGGGTGGTATGGATATTTTAATGATGTTGATTCTACCAATCCATGAACATGTATATTTTTCCATTTGTTCGTCTTCTTCTATCTCTTTTTTCAGTGTCCTGTAATTTTCTGAGTACAGGTCCTTTACCTCCTTGGTGAAATTTATTCCTAGGTATCTTAATTTTTTTGTTGCAATGGTAAATAGGATTTTTTAAAAAATATATATTTTATTGACTTTTTACAGAAAGGAAAGGAGAGAGATAGAGAGTTAGAAACATCGATGAGAGAGGAACATCGATCAGCTGCCTCCTGCACATCTCCTACTGGGGATGTGCCCGCAACCCAGGTACATGCCCTTGACCGGAATCGAACCTGGGATCTTTCAGTCCACAAGCGGACGCTCTATCCACTGAGCCAAACCGGTTTCGGCGGTAAATAGGATTTTTTTTAAAGTTTCTCTTTCTGTGAGTTCATTATTGGTGTATAAAAAAGCCATGAATTTCTGGGTGTTAATTTTGTATCCTGCTACATTGTCAAATTCATTGATTAATTCTAATAGTTTTTTTGATGGAGTTTTTAGGGTTTTCTATGTACAGTATCATGTCATCTGCGAATAATGACAATTTTACTTCTTTTCCAATTTGGATGCCTTTTATTTCTTCTTCTTGTCTGATCACTGTGGCTAGTACTTCCAGTACTATGTTGAACAGGAGTGGTGAGAGTGGGCATCCCTGTCTTGTTCCTGTTCTTAGGGGAAATGGTTTTGGTATTTGCCCACTGAGTATGATGTTGGCTGTAGGTTTGTCATATATGGCTTTTATTATGTTGAGGTATGATCCTTCTATTCCCACCTTGCTGAGAGTTTTTATCAAGAAAAGGTGTTGGATTTTGCTAAATGTTTTTTTTCTGCATCAATTGATATAATTATATGGTTTTTATCTCTCAATTTGTTTATGTGATGTATCACATTTATTGATTTGTGGATATTGTACCATCCTTGCATCTCTGGAATAAATCCTACTTGGTCATGGTGTATGATCTTTCTAATGTAATGCTGGATCCGATTTGCTAGAATTTTGTTGAGAATTTTGGCATTTATGTTCATGAGGGATATTGACCTGTAATTCTCTTTCTTTGTATTTTCTTTATCTGGTTTTGGGATTAGGGTAATGCTGGCTTCATTCCTCTTGAATCTTTAGGAATAATCTGAGGATAAGTTTTAGTTTTTCTTTGAATGTTTGATAAGACTCCCCTGTGAAGCTGTCTGGTCCAGGGCTTTTGTTTGTTGGAAGTTTTTTGATTATTGCTTCAATTTCCTCCATAGTTATTGGCCTATTCAGATTTTTTGATCCTTCCTGATTGAGTTTTGGAAAATAATATTTTTCTATGAATATGTCTTTTTCTTCCAGGTTGACCAATTTGTTGGAATAGAGTTGCTCATAGTTTTTTTTTTTTTTATGATTCTTTGTATTTCTGTGGGGTCTGTTGTTATTTTGCCTCTTTCATTTCTGATTTTGTTTATTTGGGTCCTCTCTCTTTGCTTCTTGGTGAGCCTGGCTAGAGGTTTATCAATCTTGTTTATCCTTTCAAAGAACCAGCTCTTGGTTTTGTTGATTTTTAAAAAAAATCTCTATGTCATTTATTTCTGCTCTGATCTTTATTATTTCCTTCCTTCTGCTCACTCTGGGCTTTTTTTGTTGCTCTCTTTCTAATTCTTCAAGTTGCAGAGTTAGATGGTTTATTACCAGTTTTTCTTGTTTTTTGAGGTAAGCTTGTAGAGCTATGAATTTCCTCTCAGGACTGTTTTCATTATGTCCCATAGATTTTGGATTGTTGTGTTTTCATTGTCATTTGTTTCCAGGATTTTTTTTATTTCTTCTTTGATCTCTTTGGTAACACAATCGTTGTTTAATAGCATGCTATTTAGCCTCCAAGTGTTTGAATTTTTGTGATTGTTTTTATTGTAGTTTATTCCTAATTTTATGCCATTGTGATCTTGAGAAGATGCTTGCTATGATTTTAATCTTCTTGAATTTGGAGAGACTTTGCCTATGTCCCAATATGTGGTCTATTTTTGAAAATGTCCCATGTGCACTTGAGAAGAATGTATATTCTGTAGCTTTGGGGTGAAATATTCTGAAGATGTCAATTAAGTCCATCTGATCTAGTGAGTCGTTTAGGATTGCTGTTTCTTTGCTGATTTTTTTTGTCTGGAAGATCTATCCAGTGATGTTAGTGGGGTGTTAAAGTCCCCTATTGAGACTGTATTGCAGTCACTTTCTCCTTTAAAATGCAACAAGAGTTTTTAAAAATATATATTTAGGTGCCACTATATTGGGTACATATATGCTGACAAGGGTTATATTTTTTTGTTGAATTGATTCCTTTAATATTATATAGTGACCTTCTTAGTCTCTTTTATGGTCTTCATTTTGAAGTCTATTTTGTCAGTTATGAGTATTGCTACCTCAGCTTTTTTTCATTTTCCATTGCATGGATTATTTTTTCCATATCTTCACTTTCAGCCTGTGTGAATATTTTGTTCTGAGTGGGTCTCTTTTAATATGAGTCATATTTTCCTATCCATTCAGCTACCCTATGTCTTTTGATTGGAGCATTTAATCCATTTACTTTGAAGGTTATTATTGATAGGTACTTATTTATTGCCACTTTTTTCTTTATACCTAAGCTTCTCTCTCTCTCTCTCTCTCTCTCTCTCTCTCTCTCTCTCTCTCTCTCCTCTCTCCTTCTTATAGCAGTCCCTTTAACATTTATTGCAATGCTGGTTTGGTGGTAATGTTTTCCTTTAGGCTTTTTTTTTAAAACTGGGATGCTCTTTATTTCGCCTTCAATTTTAAAATTATTTAAAATCTAGCCTTGCTGGATAGAGTAGTTTTGGGTTCAGGTCCTTGCTTTTCATTACTTTGAATACTTCATGCCAATCGCTTCTAGCCTGAAATGTTTCTGTTGAGAAATCAGCTGACAATCTAATGGGAACTCCCATGTAGGTAACTTTCTGCCTCTCTCTTGCTGCCTTTAAGATTCTTTTTTGTCTTCAACATTTGTCATTTTAATTATGATGTGTCTTGGTGTGGGCTTCTTTGTGTTCATCTTGATTGGGACTCTCCTTGCTTCCTGAACTTTTGTGTCTTTTTCTTTCACCAGGTTGGGGAAGTTTTCTGTCATTATTTCTTCAAACAGGTTCTCTAGCCCTTGCTCACTTTCTCTCTTTCTGGGACCCCCACAATGTGGATGTTGTTGTGTTTCATGTTGTCTCAAAGTTCCCTTAAACTATCCTCCTGCTTTTGAATTCTTTTATCTTTTTGCTGATCTAATTGGGTGCTTTTTCTACCTTGTCTTCCAAGTCACTGATTTGATCCTCTGCTTCATTCAATCTACTTTTAATTCCTTCCAGTGTATTCTTTTTAAAAAATCTATTTTTATTGAGTTGGCTAACGTGGATGTGAGACCTGCTGGTGGGCAGTGGAGCCGGAGCTGCGCTGTCCTGGTGAGTTGGGCCGTGCTCTGCTTGTGGGGGCTCCGCGTGCTCTACCACCTCTACTCAGGCTTCCTGGCCTGCCGGTCAGCCACTTTGGACCTGTGCGAGATGCTGGCTGCCGTCACCATTTTCACACAACATCATGAATTTTCACTGTTAGTACTTTCATGTAAAATTATGTAAAATTGGGCTGAAGAAAAGATGCTTTCCTATAGATGTTTAATATTACTTTATACTTATATCACATTGAAAACAAAGTATTTTAACCCCTAATTCAGATGGAAAGCACAAGAAGCCACATGTTCGTTAATATGCAACAAATATTCTATTTATCTGTTCCTGAATATTTCTTATGGATTAAATAGAAAAAGCCTAAGTTGTTTTTTTCTTTGAAATTTTAATAACAGGTTCGCCAGCAGGTAGAGAATATAGATACGTGGTGTTTGCTTGTAATTACTTTGTGCGTGTGCGTGTGTGTTTGTACCAGGGGTTCAGCTTTCCTTGCATCTTGCCGTTGGTTTTCGTTTGCCCTGTAGACAGTGCGTGATTTCATTCTTTCCCTCTTGACCAACATGTTAGTCTTATGTGTAAGGTTTGGATTAAGATTTCAGGGTTAACAGTAGCATTTTAGTATATTTTCTCATTAGGAACAAAATATGCTATAAGACACTGCAAAAATGTAAACGATTCTATTATTAATTGAAAGTTATTTGACATTATATGAATTGAGCTAGCTTTCATTCTTTTCAAAAGCTTTGTTTAAGTACTTTTTAAAAAAATTTGCCAGGTTTGTACTAGTATATAGGGATTCTCTCACTGAGAATGAGTTATGGTTGCTCTTGCCATTAATAAGTGGATCTAACCTAACCAAACTCTCAAAGTAGTAAATTTTGAGATATTTTATGGTTGTCCTTCAGATTAAAATAATGGAGGTTGAAGTTAATAGTTGAAGCATTATTCTTCTATTCAGCATGCAAAATCTGGCTGGAAGAGAGGTTGTGGCATATTCACTGTATCACTAATCGGAACCTTGCTTTGTGAAATATTGGGATGTCTGATTTCTCTCACTGTGATGTCTGAAAACTTTATGTATGCAAACAATACCCATATTTCACATGAAAAAATATTTTTATTGATTCCATATAGGAAGGGAGAGGGAGAGATAGAAACATCAATGATAAGAGAGAATCATTGATCAGCTGCCTCCTGCATGCCCCACACTGGGGATTGAGCCTGCAACCCAGGCATATGCTCTGACTGGGAATTGAACCGTGACTCCTGGTTCATAGGTTGATGCTTAACCACTGAGCTACACCAGCCTAGCCCTTCTACTGTATTCTTGATGTCGGATATGGTATTCATTTTCTTCTGGTTCTTGTTCATAATTTCAATTTCCTTTTTTTTTCTATTTCCTTTTCTATGCTGTTGTAGTTCCCACTTAGTTCCTTGTGATCCTCACTAACTTCCTTGAGCATCCTTATAACCATTACTTTGAACTCTATACCTAATAAATTGTTTGCCTCTGTTTCATTTTTTTCCCTGGAGATTCTTCCTTTTCTTTCATTTGGGGGTTGTTCTTTGTCTCCCCGTTTTAGCTGTCCCTTTGTATTTGTCTCTATGTATTAGATAGAACTGCTATGCCTCCCAGTCTTCGGGGGGTGCCTTATGGAGTAAGTGTCCTGTGGGACCCAGTGGTGCAGTCTCTATGATCTGATCTGGATGACCTAGAGGTGCACCTCGAGGGGTATGTGGCGCTCCTGTTGTAATTGGGTCTTGACTGTCGCTGTTCCACTCATGGTGTGTATCTCTCCGCAGGTGGCTGGCTGTGCGGCTCCACCCCCACCACAGTGTGTGAGCTGTTGTGCAGGTGCTGACAGAGCAATACAACTAAACAAGAAACAAAACAAAAGCATACAATGATCCCTACAACAACCACACAAACAACTACAGAGCAAAAGGGAATTAGGAAAGGGAAAAGAAAGAAAGAATAATAAAAGTAAAGAAAAGAAAAGAATACAAGAAGAGAAAGGGGGAGGAAAAGAGAACCTGAGAGGGAAGAAGGGAGAGAAAAATTAAGAATAAAGAATAGGAAAAGGAACTGGTATGAAAGAAAGGAGAAAGGAAAACAATTCTGAAAAGGGGAAAAGAAGAAAAAGAAGACAGAAAAAAATTAAGAAAAGGAAAAAAGAAAGGAGACAGAAAAAATACAGTAAGAAAAGGAAAGAAAAGTAAGAAATATGAAAGAAAAAAAGAGAGACAAAATAATAGTGCAATAGAAAAGGGAGAATAAAGAAATAGAACGCAAACCAGCCACGCGGCGTTTGTCTTGGCAGAGTTCAGTGCCTCCTGGGAGCGCCCTGGGCCGTGCTCCGACGCTGACGGAGGAGGACTGTGTTCGAGGTCGTTTCTGGGCCTCCCTGGGGTACTTTGGTGCTAGTGACCGTCAGACACCGTCCACATTGGGCTCTTGGCAACCTGTTCGAAACTCCAAGCAACCCAGTCTGTGGCTGCCTCCACCGGGCGTGGCTGTGCCCAGGAGGGGCCAAGCTGTGCTCAGGATCAACTTGTCAGCAGCAGGGGTCCCCGAGGTGGGTCAGCAATCAGCCCAGGGCACCTGTCTCCCCTCCACTCGCTCTGCCTGCCGCCAGCCGTCACACTCAGCCGCTGAAAAGGCTGTTTCTGAAGGGGCTCTGGTGGAATCGGGAGGATGCGACCTCTGGGTCTCCCTTCAGATTTCCAGGGAGCTGGTGGCAGAGCCCCGCGTCGGAGACTGTCCCGGAATACCTCCCTGGCCTGGGCGGGCGAGGCCCTTGCAGCTCTCCCGCGGGTCTGCTGGAAGCCAGGAGTTTCTATCAGCTCCCCCAGGAGGGGAAAAGCACCATCAGGTTCTGAGGACCGTGTGGGGCATGGTCCACCCCAAAGCCAGTCACTGACGCCCCTGCAGGCTTGGCCACAGCCGCAGCCTCCTCAGCGAGCCTGCAGCTGCGGGTGGGCTGAGCAGGCTGGTGCTGCCCGAGGGGCTGGTGCCTCAGTGTGTGTGTGTGTGTATGTGTGTGTGTATGTGTGTGTGTGTGGCACAGGCCTCCCGCCCAGTCCTCCCGTCTCCCTCCAATGCCTCCCACCCAGGCTCTCCCCCACGGAAGCCTCTAAGCCTGTGCTCTGGTTTTTATTGTTGTTTTGTTTTAAAGCAGCAGTTCTCGCCGTAACCGGTTTGGCTCAGTGGATAGAGCGTCGGCCTGCAGACTGAAGGGTCCCAGGTTCGATTCTGGTCAAGGGCATGTACTTTGGTTGCGGGCACATCCCCAGTAGGGGGTGTGCAGGAGGCAGCTGATCGATGTTCCTCTCATTGATGTTTCTAACTCTCTATCTCTCTCCTTTCCTCTCTGTAAAAAATCAATAAAATATATTTAAAAAAAAATAAAGCAGCGGTTCTCAACCTGTGGGTCGCGACCCCTTTGGTGGTCGAACGACCCTTTCATACGGGTCACCTAAGACCATCCTGCATATCAGATATTTACATGACGATTCATAACAGTAGCAACATTACAGTTATGAAGTAGCAACGAAAATAATTTTATGGTTGGGTCACAACATGAGGAACTGTATTTAAAGGGCCAGCAGGTTGAGAACCACTGTTTTAAAGTGACTTTATCTCTGACAGACTCTCTCCCAGGCTGGATGTTACGAGGCTGCTGTTCTCAGCTCTGGCTCTGGGCTGGGGGCCCCCCTGGCCTGGGTTGGGCCTCGCTCAGCAGAGAGCAGCCCTGCAGCCAAGACACCCTCCTCGCCCTCGGCCCTGCCTTCCCACCCGCCTCTGCCTCTGGGGAGCTCGTGCCCTTCCTTGTAAAGGCCCCTCTTCAGCCGGTGACTCAGGGTTTAGTTGTATTTGCAGCTTGGTTCTGGGAGGAGGTGCAGGAGGGACCGGCTCACTGAGCCGCCCTCTGGGAGACCCCAGCGCCTTGCTCCTGCCTGTGGCCCAGGCGGGGCCGCCCCCTCACACGCAGACCCTGCACTCTATCTGCTGGTCAGTTCAGATGGGCATTTGTGTGTTTCCAGTTGGGGCTACTATGAGTCATGCTGTTATAAATATCCAAATGTAAGTTTTGTGCAGACAGATATTTTCATTTTTCGTGGTTACAGATCCAGGAGGAGAGCTGTGGGGGCATCCGCTGACTCTGTGTTTAACTCTGAGTAACTGCCTGACTGTTTTTCAAAGCAGCTGCACCATTTACACCCCCACCAGCAACGTAGGAGAGCTCCAGTTTCTCCTCACTCTCCACATTTGCTGTTGCCTGTCTTTTATTTTATTTTTATCTTTTAAAATATTTTTTATTGTTGGCAGTATTACAGGTATCTCCCGTTTTCCTCCCGTTTACCCGCCTCCAGCTCTCCCTCCCTCCCCAGTCTTCGCTACCCTATTGCCTATGCATATAAGTATATATGTTCTTTGGTTCATCTCACCTCGTTCCCCTTGCTTGTCTTAAAAAAAAAGCCATTCTAGTGGGTTTGAAGTCACATTTCATGGTAGCTTTCTGTTGTGTTGCCCTCATAACTGATGATTGCAAGCTTCTTTTCATGTGTTTATTGGTTATTTGTGTATCTTCTTTGAAGGAATGTCTGTCCAAATCCTTTGTCCATTTTTAAATTGGGTTGTCTTTTTATTATTGAGTTATAATAGTTATTTATATAATCTGACACAAGTCCCTTATCAGACAGATGATTTGCAAATATATTCTCCTGTTCTGTGGTTTTTTCGCTTCTTGACGGTATAATTTGCAACACAAATGTTTTTAACTTTGATGTAGTTCAATTATCTATTTTTTCTTTTGTCACTTGTACTTTTGGTCTTGTATCTAAGAAATCATTGTCTAACCCAGGAACATGAAGATCTACTCCTGTGTTTTCTTGTATAAGTTTTATAGCTGTAGCTCTTACATTAAAGCTGATGATCCGTTTTGAGGTAATTTTTGCATCTAGTGTGAGGTGAGGGTCCGATTTCGTTCTTTTGCATGGACTTCAGGCATCCCAGCAACATTTGCTGGAAAGACTATTCTTTCCTCATGGAATTGCCTTGGATTCCTTGTAAAAAATCAACTGCCCATAAATGCAAGGGTTTATTTCTGGACTCTCATTCGATTCCATACATCTATATGTCTGTCTTTATGTCAGTATCACAGTCTCGATTACTGTAGCTTTGTTGTAAGTTTTGAAATTGAACACTCCAGCCTTGTTCTTCTGTTTAAGATTGTTTTGTCTATTCTGGGTCCTTTGAATGTTAAGATCAGCTTTACTATTCCTGCAAAATAAGCCAGCTGGGATTGTAACAGGGATTGCATTGAATATATAAATCAATTTTGGGAGTAATACCATCTAACATTATGTCTTCCAATCCATGAACATGGGATCTCTTTCTATTTATTTAGGTCTGTTTAAGTTTAGTTAAATTTATATTTAAATTTATTCTTCTTGATGCTATTGTAAATCGGATTGTTTCTTCTGATCGGCATCCCTCCTCACAGTTCTTCCGAGCAGTCCTTCTCCCCATCCTCTCTACCTACAGTGTCTAATCTGCCCGGACCTGAGGAATCGGGTCGCCAGGTTGGTGAGAACTTCTGTGTAATGAGACTCAGTACATTCCAAGGCGGGCTGGAGGGCTCCGCTCTGAGGAACCTGGGTTCGACTGCTTCCTGGTGGGTTGCGTTGGGCTGCGTCACTTCTCAGGGAGACAGCGTGGATTGAGTGACTGAGCCTGCACTTCGGTGCCTGTCAAGCATGTAGGACTATTACTGCGAGGCCTGACAAAAGTCGCTCTAAGCCTGCGTTTCCCTCCTATAAAGCGGGGGTAATAACACCTTTCTTGTAGGATCACCGGTTCCATGCCTTCACGGAAGTGCTCAATAAACCGTGGCCGTGCCCGTCACTAGCAGCCCCCGCCCTGGCATGCTTGCCCTTATCTGGTAACTTCATGTTTGCCACTAAAAACCTTTTATTTGATCCTTAGGACAATTTATTATAAGGTTTTATGCTGCCACCCTAGCTCCTCGGCCACTTAATGTAAACTGAAGTCTGCGCCACATACCAATATAAAATCGTACATTCACATCACGACCATGAATCTATCCAGCGTGATTTAATTATAAAATATAATTTTGTGAATATATATTGAATTAGGTTTCTGGACCCAGTTCCATGTGTGTGGGGGGTACCCCTACATCAGCATTACCGGAGGGAGCATCAAACCGCACAGGTTAAGGGTTCAGTCCCACCAGCTGCCGGCCCCGACCCCCGCACCTCAGATGCCAGGCGCAGCCCCAGGCTCCCCCCTGTGCTTCCGACCAGCGGGCTGCAGGGTGAGGTTCCACTGACCCCTAACCGAGGATGCCCCATGCCGGTCCAGCTGCCACCACCCTGACTGACTGGCTATAAATCGAAGGCTCCCAACCGCTCCTTGGGTTTGCTTCATTTGCCGGAATGGCTCACAGCACTCAGGGAACCTGTTACTCACTAGGTCACTGTTTACTGTAAAGGATACAACTCAGGCACAGCCCGATGCAAGCGGTGACAGGGCGGGTGTGGGGAGGTCAGAGAGTAAAAGATTGTTTGTAGATGGGGGAAATGTTTCCAAATCATATGTTTGACAAGAGCCTAGGATCCGGATTATATAAAGAACATGCACAACTCAACAGCAACAGACAAACAACTCAATTTAAAAATGGGCAAAGGGCCCATTTCTTTAAAGACGTGCAAATGGCCAATATGCACACAATGCCCAGCATCGCTGGTCATCAGGGAAATGCAAATCAAAACCACCATGAGATCCACTGCACACCCACTTGGGTGACCATAATAAATAACAAATGTTGGCGAGGACGTGGTAAATCGGAACCTCTGTTCAGTGCTGGTGGGGATGTAAATGCTGCAGCCACCATGGGAAACAGTCTGGCAGTTCCTC